TTTAAATTATTTTTATGTGTGACATAAATTATTTTCATAAGGTACCTTTCAGGACTTATAAAAATAGCTCAAAAAACTTTATGAAAAATACTATAAGTTGTTTTAATAAGCTTTTCCAAGTAGTGCAGTGTAACTAAAACAATAATAATTGAAGTTGAAATATGTAAACACAAAGTAAACAATTAATAAACACGATTATGTATCACTTGAATTCACTGAACTAGATGCACCACCAGACATTTCTCAAGAGGAAGAACACCTTACAAAAAAACAAAAAACATATAAAGATAGAGGTATTCAAGATGTTTGTCGTGCGCTACTCCTGTTGGATCCAACATTGATACAATAGTTGCACTTGCAAGAAATAGAAGGAAATTAACATGAAATAACAAAAAGACAAACATAAAAATTTAACTATAAATGATTCACATTTATCCATAAACAGTACCTAAAAACATTCACATCCATCTCAAATTATATCAACCATGACCAGCAGATTTCATCACTTGTTGTAGCAGTCTGAAGCACAAATTTAAATTTTCCCCAACACTCATTCCATATATTGCGTATACGGGTCGTACGTGTATTAGATGAATTACCGGATGTACCATAGGCCTCAAAGGTTAAAATCCACACATTGGAGGAATTTGTATGCTTGTGATTGTAACATCCATATTTGTTGTCGTTGTCATATTAGCACCACGACATTTCGAGGGATTTGAACATTTCTTTTGCACACTTCTTTCACCATTGCAAATAGTTTTTCTTTTCTTTTTTTGTTTTTAAAAACAAACTATTATTTTAATTCAAATAATAACACAATATAATTAATAAAATATATTATACCTTCTATCCAAAAAAACATATAATACCTTTTCGATTTGGCTTAAAGAATCAGCTAATGACACTAACTCCAACTAACCATTTCGTTCAGATGGCGCATTTTATGTACCCAACAAATTATACCATAGAAACTATTATGTTTAATAAAAAATAAGACACTGACTCTAACAATCATATCATAAGTTATTGAAATTACCAAACAATTCCTCGCATTATGACTTGTACTGTTGCATTTTGAATAGTGTCTGACAGCTTTTGTGTCATTCTTTTTTTCTTTGGAGAAACTTTACTCTTCACTGTCGTTGGATCACCTAAGGCTAAATTTTGTGTCCCAATAGGATCGCCAGTACTGCAATACTTTTGTTTTTGTAAATTCATAATGTCATATATTATTTCCCCCATAAACACCATTCTTTTTTTTAAGCTTCTCTGCAAAAAGTAGTAAAAGCAAAACAATATACACCAAAACAAGCTTAGTCAATCAAATTCGAATCAACTGTACCATTATAATCCATGTTTAAATATTCAATTTTGGAATCCTTAGTACATCACAACAAAACCAAACTACTAGGAATATGATCAAGATGTTCTTCTTTCATGACATAAAACATATGAGAACATGGAATCCCACGAGAATCAAATAACCTACACGAACATTGAAATGTTGAACCATCATAAAAAAATTCGACTTAAAACTTTTCCTGATAATATTTTGTCAATGTATACACCTTCCTATCCCCACGAAGAAATAACTAGGTTCTTTACAATCAATGCAACAACCTTCATAATTTCATCTTTAACTTCTTTGAAAATCTCTTCCGTATAAGTTTTATCTGCATCGCTCTCAATCAAACGCAGGTGAGTTATCAACATAGGTTCTGAAAACTTTGATTTAAAATCCGCAACCAGTTCATTATTTATGTACTCTCTCAAAGCCTGCTCAAAATTGTGCAAAACATAAAAATGCAGCCTTTCTTCTGTACATAAGTCTTGATTATTGCATTAACAACTTCACATTGAGACGTTGTTCTTATACTTCCAAAAAAACTTATCATGTAGATATGCAATTTCCCACAATGACTTGTTCTTATACATTTTGGCAACCCAAGGATTTCCTTCAAGTTCATTTTCTTTAATTAGTTCTGACCAAAACTCTTCAAATTGATCCTTTGTAAAATTTGAGTACATCACTTTTTTAAAACCTTCCAAAAATTCTGACTTCTTTACATTTTTATTCAAATGCCAAACACATAACTGATTGAACGCATCGGGAAAAAATTGTTTTATAGCCTCCCTTATAGCCCCATCTACATCTATTACAACTGCTTATGGGTATTTATCTTCCATGCACTCTAAAAAACACCTCAACAACCACTTATACGTCTTTGTCGTTTCATCTGATGCCAATGCAACACCAATAATAGATGTCTGAGTGTAATCTCTTATATTCCCTAAAATGTCCAATTGGTTGTTAGTTGAGATCAACCGAGTTTCTATGTACTCTATTTATTGTTAATTGAGACAGATTGAGCTCCTATGTGCTCTAAAGGTTGATAGTTGGGATCAATAAAGTAATTGGTGGACTCAAAAGAGATCAATCCCTATTAAAGTATACTGACCATTATTAATAAGTACAAGATGAGACATTTTCAATAACATTAATAATTGGTTAATGGATACTAGAAGACAAAATATCAATTGAGATATTTTGCTCCCACTACTTAATATTATATATTATATTTATATATGTGTAATGGATAAGAAAAAGAAAAGAAGTTTGGATAATAAAGAAAAGAAAAATAGGGAAAGAAAAAAAGAAAAAAATGTGGAAGAGAAGAGAAGATAAGAAGAGAAAGAAAGAAAGAAGGGAAGAAGAAGAAGAAGGAACTTATCATCATCATCATCTTCATCATCATCATCATCACTAACTTAAATTCATCTTCTACATCATACTTTCCATATAAGAAGAGTTCCTAGGTAGTTTTAGCTTTGGTTGGGAAATTTTCATGTTTGGGGAAATTAGAGCTTTGTGTTGTTGTTTGATCATGACATGATGAAACTGTTGTTGTTCTTGCTTATATGATGTTGTTGTTGCTACGAAGAAAACATATTCCATGAAATTTTAAAACCATGTGGTTGTTATTTTGATTATTGTCTTTGATTACATGTTGTTTTGGGTCATTGGATGCATCAAGATGATGATTGTTGGTGTTTTTCTCATCCAAATGTGTCCATTTACTATTCTGGTTCTGCTACATTCTCTAAGTGAAGTCAGGGTAAGTATGCTACTGAATTTGCTCTCTAGGAGTTTTCTCATCGAAGTTTGTTCACTTGGAGTTTGCTGGAGCTTCCTAAGCAAACTTGACAACATTGAGAAAAATGCTTGGTTCTTATTTTCATCATAACTCGAGAACCGTAACTCGAAATAAGGCACAATCAGAGGCGTTGGAAAACTCTTTCGATGTTCTATTTGATATTAGAATATAAGCATGATTTTTCCATTGATTGATAGGATATACATGATAAAATATCATATATGATATGATGAGTTAATTTAATACCTCGTTTCCATGTTTCTACCATAAAATGAGAATAATAGCTCCAATTGATTTGAGAATGGATGTGTTAGGAAGCTAACATAGAGTAATATGATATAGAGAGAAGTATATATGAGTTATTCCACTATGCTTTCCATTTTTTCCAGTTATTACCACCATAGTATGATCGAATGGATCTTTTCCTTATAACGTAAAAGTTGAATAAGATAGATTGAGGTGTATTGTGTAATATCCATGACTATGATTGTTGCAACATGTTACAGTATCATGTGTGCTTTTTGCATGTTGTGAATCATATTATAATACCTGATACATATTGTTGGTTGTGATGCGGGTGAGAAAACCTTAGGAGTACAACTTGACTAATAACTAGAAATATAATTTAGGTTATGAGAATGACTTAGGTCGCAATGCTTGAATGCAAAGGTACCTCGATGGGTATCGTGGACAAGTGTTCGCCATATTATGAATCAATATGCATTGTATGGAACATATGAATGAGTGGATATGATCACCTGGTAATTTATAAATAATTGTAGCTCTTTTAAGCGTATTCCATGCAATGTAGGTCTGGGCTCCGTTGAAAATATTTATTGGATGATGAAATCTATATAACTGAAGTCAGATATCCATTGACCATATCTGGTGGAAAGGGATTTAGTGCATTCCATTCAGTGGAGGTTAGGAGTATTGTTGACCATATTTGGTAGATGCTTATTCTATATGGTGGAGGTTGGGTACTAACGTTAGTCATATCTGGTGGTTTGTGTTCCATGCAATGGAGGCTAGTAGTGTCGTTGGCCATATCTCATGTATTGTGTGATCCATTCAGTGGAGGATAGGACTACCGTTGGCCATATCTGACGGATAGATCTCTATGATCAGTTTGGGATAATCACCCTTGTGTTGCCATCGCCTTCTCGAATAAGGATTTATTGAGTTATGAGAACTCAAGTGACATGTTGCCATACATTGCGAATATCCCTTAGATACTTGAGACTTGGTCACGTAGTGTGAGTGATATACAAATAACGAGATGAAGATTTGAGTTAGGAATCGATTAAAAATCCTGTAGAGCCGAGTGGACCCATAAGATAGCGGAATTCACTGATAGTATTATCCCATCCTGTTATTGTTGTTGTTTTTCAGATGATTTCTTTGTAAGTTAAAATAAAGAACAAAATTGTTCAATGATGTTTCGAAGAATTTGTTATCGTGATCTTCTACTGTGGATTTGTGTACAATGAAGATATTGTACATAGTTCTTAGATTTTATTTTTGGCTTTATTTTATAACATGTGTCATAGTTGTATTTGTTTGGATATGTGTATATAATAATGTCATTAGGCACTTATGTTGGATCAATACCAAGAATTAACACTTGTATGACATAATTCTAGATACATATTATACAAGGTGTTACACTGAGAGTGGTGGTTACACCCTGAAAATATAACCAATGGGTAGTTGTACTTTTTCTTCTTGCAAGTTGTGTTGAACACAACCACATCGCCAAAACAAAAATAGTCAGACCTACTGCTCCCATCAGCCCAAAAAAGAGACTTCATTCGTCCATCATTATCCACAGCGTATTCAACACTACAAAGCGCACAAACCTAGTGGGGTTAATTCATGGTTATGACCCTCTTCAAAAACTGATACTGCATATCTATCCTTTTTGGCTTTGTAGTGCACACGAAGCCTAACTGCACATTTATTACGGGTCAAACATTTGTGATCTCTTTTCTTATCTATCCTAGCTAAGTGTTTCTTGTCTCTTAATCCATGTTTGATGCATACATATTGTCTCATTACTATTTCACCAACTTCGGGCCCTCTTCGCCTAACATCGCTTTTTCTAATGGCAAAACCTGTACATTTTCCATACCAATAATAAAAGTCATAAGCTTCACTCATAGTTCCAAACTCCATAGCACGAATTTCATCTGAAGTAATGGAATCAATACTCACCAATTTATCGCCTACAACAACTTGGATATTTGAGCACTCTGCTCCAACCGATTCCCCATCATCGTCATTATCAGAATCATCTTCATCATTTGAAGTTTGATGTCCACTAGATACAACATCATTAACATCTTCATCACAACTATATTCAGCATCAGATGACTTAGTGTAATGAACATTGTTCAAATCAACCCCAACAAAATTGTCAGAGTTGTCCATCTGAAATCCGCCATTACATAACACAACATAAGTCAACATCAATCATAAAACCTAATTCTCAAATTGATATGAAATCTTAACCAACATATTGAGTAACTAACAATTCCAAAAAAAGGCAATGACATCAATCATAAAACTTAATTCCCAAATTATTTTATCCTAAGTAATATCTAACAAATTGAAAATTGAAGTTCTTAAATTTGAAATTCAATTACTGATTACAACATTAATCATAAAATCTAATTTTTAAATTGAAATAGATTTTGTCCAAAGTAATAAACAACTAGCAAATTAAAAATCAGAGTCCTTAAATTTGAAATTCAATTACTGATTACAACATCGATCATAAAACCTTACCAAATTGAAATCATATAAAAAATTGAAATCATTAAATATTAAACTCAAATACCTTAGCAAATCTGCTACCAATACAAACTGTGTGAGGAACGATTGTATGGGAGAATATTGAAGTTCGCTCGTTGAACAATATTTGGAAGAAAACTCGTTTTACAATTGCGAAAGAAGAAGATGACACATGTTTTACGATTACGGCGAAAGAAGATGAATATAGTTGGTTCTACATGATAGATGTAAGTAGTTCTACATGTTGGGGGTAAAGAAGATGAAGTTGTTGTTGGTTGGGAAAAAAAGATGAAATTGACGAAGATGAAGTCGGTTGAAAAAAGAAGATGAAATTAATAAAGTATCATAAAGTTGTTTTATTAATTTTGATTTTTAAAAAATAAAAATATTAGGGACTTAATTACAATATTATATCTTCCTTTTCAAAATGACTGTCGTTGTAGAAGAAAATTTTTGTTTTAAAATGAATGTCATTCTCACTCTTCAATGTAGTAATAATTGTTATTTTTACAATTGTGTCATATAATTATTACTCTATATACTATTTTCAATAAATTAATAAGACTAATTTAATAAAAAAATGTAATATCTTATGATAATACCATTGCATTTCTTACTCTGTGTGCAAAAACCTTAAACGACAGTCATTTTGAAATTGAGGGAATAATAAATATGAAAGGTTTAATTGCAATTTTGGTCCCTATGTTTTTATTTTTTTTAATTTTGATTCTCCTATTTTAAAATTCGGAATTTTTGTCCCTCCATTTTTAGTTTTTTTGAGTTTTGGTCACCCTATTTTAAAATTCGGAATTTTGATTCTTCTATTTTCATTTTTGTATAGTTTTGCTCTCCTATTTTAAGTTTTGTTTTGGATTTTAGTCTCCCTTTTCAATTTGGAACTAATTTAAAAGGGAGACCAAAAGTTTTAAAAAATGAAAATAAATGGACCAAAACTAAAAAAAATAAAAAATAAAGGAACAAAATTTTCAGATTTTAAAATAGGGGGATAAAAAATAAAATAAAAATTGAAAATAGAAGGACACAAATTCTGAATTTTAAAATAAAGGGATCAAAATTAAAAATAAAATAAAAATAAAAAGATCAAAATTTAAATTATAACAATTTAAAATTACATATAAATTTAAATGCATGATATAATCCTACGTGACAAATGAAAGAGTTTAAAATTTCTTTCTGATCGGTTAAAATTATGACTTTTAAAAAAAAAAGTCATTTTGATGAATTTATCGTAGAATTTAACTAGTTGATATTAGGGGTGGCAAAATGGATGGATTGGATGGATATGGATTGGATTGCTAATGGATGGATTAAAACAATCCATTAGTCCATTAAAATCCACTAAAATTTTATTAAAATTATCCAATCCAATCCATCCATTAAGAATAAAATTCATCCAATCCATCCATTAACATATTTTTAATGGATGGATATCCATCCATCCAACTTTTTTTTTTAATTTCGTAAAAATAAATATTTTTTTTTCAAAAACAAATTAGTTTTTTATTCTGAAAAAAAAACCGATTTTTTTTCCAAAAAAAAAGTCGGTTTTTTTTTTCGAAAAACAAATCAGTTTTTTATTCTTAAAAAAAAACCGATTTTTCAGAAAAAAAAAGTCGATTTTTTTTTTGAAAAACAAATCAGTTTTTTATTCGGAAAAAAAAAACCGATTTTTTTCAGAAAAAAATTGATTTTTTTCCAAAAAAAAAGTCGGTTTTTTTTTCGAGAATTTTTTTTTTTTTTCGAAAAACAAATCAGTTTTTTATTCTGAAAAAAAACCAATTTTTTTCCAAAAAAAAAGTCGGCTTTTTTTTTTCGAAAAACAAATCAGTTTTTTATTCTGAAAAAAAAAACTGATTTTTTTTCCAAAAAAAAAATTCGGTTTTTTTTCGAAAAACAAATCAGTTTTTTGTTCTGAAAAAAAAAATATTTTTTTTCAAAAAAAATTAAATTTTTTTTTTCAGAAAAAAAATATAATTTTTTAATTATTTAAAAAAAAATCTAATTTTAAAAAAATAAATCTAACGAAAATAAAAATAATCCATTGGATTCTTAAAATATGTTGGATGGATTGAATCAATCCATGCATATAAATGGATGGATTGAATTCATCCATGCATATAAATGGATGAATTTAATCCAATCCATTAACTTATTTTTTGTGTGGTGGATGGATTAGATGAATTTTTTGATGGATGGATTGGATGAATTTTGTCTTAATAGATTTAATTGCCACCTCTAGTTGATATTGCTTGCTATTCAGCAGAGTGTCATCGGCCTTGGTGCCCATGTGAACTGCATTAACAAAGTGTTGGTTGACAGTAGATTTTTTACCTTTTTATAACCTGGTGGATAAACCATCTTTGGCATGCCCATGACTCAGGAGCAACCGTTGTATATACAGTTTTTCTCAAACAAAATTTATAATTATCAACTTGAAATAAATTAAAATAATAAGGTTATGAATGCAAGGTCTAAGTCATATTCTACTTACTCTTTGACTAGGAGTAGACATCTCATGTTTAGATCCGTTTATTTATTTTTATTTATCTTACCTTGACATAAATATTTATAAAACAGTTTCCAAAAATTTATAAACACAACTAAGCAAGATTCGTAAGTTATAATATTAAATATATTATAGTAAAATAAACCACATCTAGTGAATCAAGCATATCAATGCAAGATCTTAACTCAAACTAAACTTTTAAGAAGAAAAATAATCTTGTTAATCATTCTAATTAATTAACTTCTATTGAGAGTTCCTCGAGGCTACTTGAAGAACATGACATGAAGTAGTTGGATTTGCTACAAACCTTGAAGAAAAAGCACAGAACTTATAATAATAATCCTCATCCAATAAGCTTCCACAGTCACTTGTGTCAAAATTCAAAGAATAGCTCAAAGGATCATAGCAACATTGAAACGAACCTTGTCTGATTCGGCTACGTGATCTCTTCATGAGAAGTTTTCTCATCAGTTTTGTCATTGAACAACAACATGGTGATGATCTTGTAGCTGCCACGGATTTTGTTGCCATGGTGACACTGACAGATTCATCTTTCATCTTCATGGTGGTGGAAGTGTTGTTTTCAGAACTCATAGGTGCCATTGTTTTTCTGTTGAGTGTAAGTAAGTTAGCTTCAATAAATGTGTGAGGGTTAGTTAGTATTTATATAAAAAATGTGAGGAAGGATATTAAATATAAGAATAAAGATATTGTTTCAAATCTGTTGATAGATCTCAAATAAAAAATCAGAAAAAGTAATAAAGATAACAATATAATTAATATATAGGGAATATATTTATTATTTATATAAGTGGGCTTGTTGACTGAAATTTACGTGAGGCACGTGAGCACTATTATTAGCATGGATTTAAATATGTATAGATGAAATCTCAAGTGATAATTGATTTTGTCATAGTAAATATGGGAACGTTAGATTTGATAAGATATACTCCCTCACGTCCAAATTATAAATTATTATGCCAAAAAAATTGTTTTTATTATACATTTTCAATATATATTTTCTAATATATTCTATTTATTATTATTTATTATTTCAACTCTTTTAATTTTTCTCTTCTATGTAATTATTATTTATACATAATTTATTTTTCTCATAAAATAATAATTAAGTTTTTTAATTTGTATGAAATACTCAAAACGACTTATAATTTGGGACAAAAGAAGTATTAATGATGGCCTCAACTAAAGCAAGTGACAACAGAACTCAGAGCATACGGGCATATTGTATGTCATGTCCCGTTTTTGTATCCGTTTCCTTATGGTTTTTTCTTTTCCTTATTGATTAACTTCCATATTTTCATTTCAAAAAAGAGAATGTGATATAAATTTTTTGGAATTCTTAATGTATCTTATATATTATTTATACATCACGCGAAAATACTTAATTGTTTTTAGATTCTGAAGATACATCTTCGAGTGCAATCAATTCAGAGTTAACATTAAAATATTCTGGAGATACATCTTCAAACTTATTTCGAAGATGCATCTCTAGAATGTATAGGAGGTTAACTCGCCCCAGAACCATTTTCCTTCCTCATTTCTAGAAGAAAAAAAATATAAAACCTCTTCAAACTCTCTCAAATTTTTTTAATCACCAAGTCCAAAATCAAACAACCTAACTCAAAGAATCTTCAATCAACATTCAAAAACATCACCTAACACTGAAGCAAAGTGAAAACTTATAAATTTTTGATGTTTTGATAATTTTTTTTAGTTTTTTGAATTTTTGTGTAAATGAGTAGAAAATGAGGATTTAGGAATCAAATGAGTAGGAAATGGAGGAATGTTAGTTTATACATGCAGTAAAACACACTTGTTTGTTGAAAATCACAATTAAACCGTTTATTTTGAGGTTTGCATTTCTGCATTGCATTCATTGATGAACTGAAGCGTTGCAAAAACTTCCAGAGATGCATCTCCAAAAAATTTCAATAGATTCATGTTATCTGGAGATTCATCTCCGAAAATTAACAGTCTTTTTTTTTTGTTTTCTTGTCTGTAGTGTTGCTTGCTTGCACTAATTGTCTGATTTACTTTAACTTACAAGCATTATGTGTAACACCCTTTTCTACCCCGCAAATATTATGGCAAAATAACACAGATATCAGAGTAATTATTAAATTTCAACAAAAAGTCACCCAAAAGGGCGTACATTTCCCAAATCAACAAAATAGGTCAAGGCTCCGTAAGCAATGAGTTTTCCCAAAATACATCAAATTGCACAAAGCAGCAGAATTCAAAAGGCATAAATCAAGGCTTTCCTCATACTGGAAGATAATCAAAATAAACTCAAATAAAACATAGTTTAACTCAAAAGACCCCAACCCGATGTTACATATCAGAGCAAGACCCTCTAAGTTAACCAAAAGGCTAACAACTCAAAGATTTCAAAAATATCCTCAACGGCGTCCACGGCTAAACCTGGTCATCTGCACGTTATCCACGTGGAGGTAACACTCAAGCAGGCAGGGTGAGTAAAACGATTCATAATAATCAATGTATAAAAATCAACATATAAAACGACGTCATATTCATATTCAAACATTGATATCCTTTAATAGGCCTCAAAGGCCACAAGATCATAAATTATTCCAAATGACTCATAAATGCAATGCAACAAGACTCAATGCATGTGGTATCAATCATCACAGCGCGATTGACACTGGGCCATCAACCCTCTATAGATCCCCATCAATAGGATCAATTCTACTAGAGAACCGGAGCACATCAAAACACTTCACATCCATACAATGAGATTGAAGCCAAAGTAATCGAGGTCCTGAACCGAAGTCCGGATGCACATGAATGCATGATGTACACGTCACAAATCATCCTCATAATAACATCATAGGTGCATCATCATTCATCATATTCATAACCATCAAACTTCATAGCTCATCATCATAATCATTATCACACATCATGTCATCATAGCTCATCATAATAATCATCATCATACATCATGTCATCATAGCTCATCATAATAATCATCATCATACATCATGTCATCATAACTCATCATAATAATCATCATCATACATCATGTCATCATAGAATCATCAAAAACTCATGGAAATATCATCATAGCTCATCATCATTACTCATAGGAATCATCATTATACAATCATGTATTAATTTCATCGGAATCATAGTTATACTCATGGTAATTCATCATACAATCACGTATTTAATCTCATAAAATTATTAGACAATCAATTATCTTATTTATACTATGTTATAACCATGTTCATTAGTTTTCCAACACTTCGAACGGGGGTCAAAACGGACCTACGGATCAAAAGTTACGTCTAAAACAATTTTGACCGAAAACATGGACAATCGTGACGAACAACATGCAATTTTCTGCGTTTTTCACCGTTGGAGGCCTTTCGGACCTCCAATTTTGATTCCGTAAAAACTCAAATTCTCATAAAATTACAACCCATTCAACACTATAATCATCTCAAGTAAATTTACAATTTTAACACAATTAAACCATCTAATCATTGTTTTAAGATTATGCTTAAAACCTTTAAAATTAAGGGATATAACTTCAATCCCGTATCATATTTACGCTCTAAATCACAAATTTTCCTACAATTACCCCAAAGAAATTAGAGTTACTCACTGTCTAATATTCATATCCCTTCAGGGTCAGACAGGTTCAAATCATAGTTTTGGCCACGAAGGCCAAAGATCACTATTTCTCATATCTACCCTCAAAGTCTCAGGAATACTTACAACTACACCACAACCATTAGAGTTCTCACTATCAAATTTCCCTACAGGGTTAGACCAATGTCAAATCAGAGTTTTGGCCACGAAGGCCTAGTTTCCCTTTTACTCCAATGAATTCCCATGGTTAACATCTCAATACTAGATTTAGGCCACAAAGGCCAAAATCCCTTTTTCTCACAATCAATCCCAAAATCCCTTAAACCCTTAAATCGACCTTAAATACGTTGAATTTACACATTGAAAATCACGAAGGCAATACTCCCCATACCGTAATTGTCGATCAAAGCCTTCTCAAATATTTCTAGGAATCCTCCGAAGCTTTTGCCTCCAATCTTCCTTCTCAGAGCTCTGGCCTCAATTCTCCTAACGGTCTAACAAATGAATCCTAATTCCATCATAATTTCCTTTTTGTTAAACCTAGACTTGGGCCTCACAATTGGGCTTTTCCCATATTATCCTCACTAACTCCTCTTAATTGTCCAATTTGCCCTTATTTCACTTATATTTATTTTAATTAATAATAATATTAATATATTCATATTATATATTATTATTCAAAATAAATAACCCAAATTCCATTAATTCCCAATATTTCACAAAACCACCGAAAATCACCAAAACGCGAATATTCTCATTTAAATAAATTAAATTAAATATTCCCATAATATTTGGGGTGTTACATTATGGATGATAGAAACGATAGGCTATGGCACGAGAGGATTGCACATCATGCATTAGTGTGACGGGAGAAGAGTCGGGTTTTAGAGGCTTTTGTTCACTATGGCCATGCAGGGACATCTATTTCTGAGGATCATGCTTCTCCCCGTGCTTCTCCATATTCTTCTTCTCATAGGAGACAAGTTTCACCAACCGACACATCACTCCCTCCATCCTCCTGCAGGCGCCAAGTTTCACCTATTCAGGCGCCAGAGGTACTCGAGTCATCGGTGGTACCCGAGGCACCAGTGCCACCTCCGACAGATGATGATTCTGAGCCAACACCACCTTCTACTGCTGGTGTTATTGAGCCAGTGCCACCTTTGAATGGTGAAGTTGCTGACGATGCTGAACCAGAGCCATTTGGAGGAGCCCTTATAGGGTTGTCATTACTACCTCTGCACCTAGACCATACTGCCAAACATATATGGGATGAAGATGTAGTATTAGTTGGATTCATTCTTTTTAAATTACGTTTATTTTAATTAATAATTTTTTGATATAGATTTATTTTTCGACAAGACCGTGATCCGCTGAAGATTATTAACTACTGCGGAAGATTACTAGCTTGCCTCATCAAAATGAGGAGTGGTTTTAGGCAGTTTTATCCGTATCTGGAATGTAGGACTTATGCATAGTCAGTTAAATTATGGTTAACCACTGGATGCTTAATGCATTTCTAGAGAGATAGCACACTAAGACCTCGTCATTTCATCTTCTGCTAGGTGAGATGTTTATCTCACTCGTCGATGTGTCGTGTTTTCTACATCTTCTAATCAGGGGGAATTCTAGATCATGGGAGGATTACCAAGACGAGGCACTTAATATGCTGGTAGACTATCCCGGAGTTGACCCAAGGGATGCGATGGCGAAGTTGGGTAGAACCATGGGGGCTCATGCTAGGTTTGAATTTCTGAAAAAAGGTATATACATATGAGCTCCTTAAAGCACAGTAGGCTAGAGACGATGACGAGCAGGTGGCACTCCATATAATGTATGCTATGAGACCATTCCTGCTATATTTGGTTGACACAACTATTTTTGTGACAAGAGTGCCACTTATACATAGGTCGTTTACCTACATTACTTCGAAGACTTCGAGCGGATCCATGAGTACAACTAGGGAA